TTTACATTCCTAAAAGGACAGAATGGATTTAACTTTCTGTAGACAAATCTGTGATTTATTTCTGTTCTTAAAAACAGATATGTTAACTGACTATTAATTTGCACACTCTGTGTTTTCAACTAGTAATGTTAATGCAACTCCCTTATGCAACTACTACATTAAATCTATTGATTAATACAATGGCAGAATGCTTAAAACCTATTAAGTTTAACTTGGTTTTAATATAAACTCAACTTTAAAAGGCTTCAAAATTTTATTCAGAAATTACACACCTCAGGAACACAAAAGAATTAACTTAAGTCACTCACTGAACAGTGTCACTACTTGAGTGACCAGTTAAAAGCAGCAACTGTATTTAAATATTTGAAAATAGGCCTTTTCTCAAAGAGATTTTGTATTTATTCATTACTTTTTTTAAAATCAGACCCAACCATACATACAGTATATTTATTATGATATATAAATTTGCCTGCTTTAAACTTCCAAGTTGCTCTCTCTTCCGCAGTGCCCAGAGAACCCTTTTGTAGCGTGACATTTCTTAAGAAAAAGTTCAACAGCACAAGAGCACCCACCTATTTTGGCAATACTTCTACCAGGAAAATTGTATCTCTGATCTGGGACAATAAAGTAAAGATGCTTCTAAAAGAAAAGAAAGGATAAAAGCTCTTATGTCCAAGATTTTAAGGGGACTACTCTCAGAACTGTTTCTTCCCTCTCCAGTGAAGACCTGGCCAAATTATGTAGTCAATATACAATTTATAGTCCACTTCTCCCTCTTCTAACACTCCTCTACACTGAAAGGACTTCCTGTTTGAAGTATAACAAGACAATGGAACCGCTTTTGCAATATCCATCCAGAACTGCCAAACTTCCAATATTCAGGAGGCTCTCGAACCTGTAACTGACTTAACAAAGGCAGATTAACAGCGCATTAGCTGCTTGGCAGTATTTACCTGGGCTCTCTGCGCAGGTAAATAGGCTTACTCTCAGTAAGGGAAAAAAGACACATTTTCAAGAGTGGCTAAAGCATTACTTACGGTACGGCTTATCACCCTGCATCCTATTTACCCTCTCAACTTTCAGATCCAGTCAGTTTTTCATCTCTCGATTTCTATAATCTTTGTTGTTGTTGCCATAAGAATATGCAAAGGTAAGGTGGAATATGTATTTCGTTTCACAGATGACAACACCACCAAAGGCAAAAACTTACTTAGTAATAGACAGTAAAGGAAGAATGAAATAAATTATCACTTCTTAAATTATGAAAATTATCAATGCAGATACTGGCAAACTACTAGTGTTTAGAGCAGGGATTAAAATATTACGCAGCAGCTTTTCAGTCAGTGAAAAAGGAGTAAGGTAACATTAGTACCTCCTATTTTCAGCCAAATTTGCACCTTCATCCTTGAGCTCCTTACTTTTCCTTACACAATCTTCTAAGAGAACTTCCTTTCTTCTCTTAGCTGCAAGCACCCAGTTACCATCATCATCATCACCCACATCCTTGTCATCCGCAGCTTCTGCTTCGAACTGCTGCGAAGTAGCTTTTGAGACCTTCTCACCAATCTTTCTCTTCCAGCCAAAAGAAGCCATCTGGAGAACTAGGAAGAATGCATTTTCGGTAGTTAGGTAATTTAGCTTTTAAGTACACAGCAGGAAAAATCACGCCTCGCTCATCTCGAGGCTAAAACAGTAATACAGAGCGGCACTCCCACACAAAATTTAGCCGATCGGCTGCACCTGAGCGGTCGCTGAGGTACGCACAACCCTGCTGCCCGCGCCGGTACCTGGCGCTGGAGCCGGCCGCCCCTCACGGCTGGAAGCGCCGCGCCTCGGCCCGCGGCAGGAAGCGGAAAGGCGGAGCGGCACCGCAGGAACCGGGCAGGAGCAGGAAGGAGAAAGGGCAGCAGCAGCGGCTGGGCCCGGCGGCAGGGACAGCCGGGAGCCGTAGTTCGGCCGGGCGCGGGGTTGCGGGGCCGCTTGGATGCTGTGAGGCGCCCGGCAGGCCCCTGCTCCTGTGCGGCCTGAGGGAGCCGTGGAGCGTGGGAGCGGAGGGCACAAAACACGGGCCCTGGGAGTGTCTCACAGGAACCCAGTGACCCCCGCCCGTACGGACTGCGCCCTGGGACAGCAGACACCCGCCGGGAAGTCCCATTAGGAGAAGGGACCCAGGCTTATAAGGACGGCTTTTTTCTCAAACGGGAGAAAAATACTGCCAGAACTAAAACACACACAACACACACACAAAGAACAAACAACCCAAAAAACAAACTTCCCCCAAAAAATACAAAAAAATAAACCCAACCCAAACCAAAAACCTCAACAGAAAGAGAAGACAGGGTTTAAAACTGCTCCCTACTTGCCGGGACCGATCCCGAGAGAAAAGCCCCATCCGTGGTGCAAGGGAAAGGCTGCGAGACGAGACGCGTCACCACAGGGGCGCAAAAGACAGAGTTTGTTCCATGTGGTCAGAGTTTGTTCCATTTCAAATTCCTTTTCTGCAGCAAAAGATTTTACAGGACCGAGGGGGAAAGGATTAGTCAGATCCGGCGAGCTGGAGCACCAGCCTGTCCAGCTGGGGAATGTGCTGTAATTTTTGCATGTTGCTGATTTCTCTGTAACTGTAATAGCTGCTGTTTTTAGAACGAGTGTAACAGTTCTTGCCCACTTATATAACACTAGAAAACAGCACACGGCCACAAACAACATAGTTCAGTATTTCATGTTTACTTAGTTTTTAGTTTTGAAAGTTTAAAAAATTATACAGTTAGAAACAAGCATTTTTGCCATTCAGCTTTGTCAAAAGAAATTAACAGGAAGTAGGCACATCTTTGTTAAAGTACAGGACATTTTTTCTTACAATGGTAATCAACTGGTAAAATAAAATTTAGCTCGAACTTTGTATTAAACACTCATATCAAGACAAACATGAAAAGTTTTTTTTTTCTTCATATTGCACTACCAAGATGAATTTTTATCCATTACCTAGTGCGTTTTGCACATGGACAGCCCAGGTTCATCCATGTTACCGAAAAAATTACAAAGACAATGTAAGTAGTAAGTACTCATTATACTCCAACAGGAGTAAGCTTGGGAATACAGAGTAACACACTTTACCAGTTTGTGTATCTGCATAAGCTGCCTTAAAACTCTGGCAGCTCTCTAAGTGTAAGTTTCATTTCTCAGCCTATGGGCAGCTTCTAGTGCAAGGCTAAAGGTCAGCAAGATCAGAAGGAACACGTGAAGAAAGCAGTTTCAACAGCAAGATCTACAAAGCATAGGAAAGTCACACAACAGGCAACTGGGTTCAACTCGGTTCTTAGTGCCCCTTTCTACCCCTCCCCTTCCCTATAAAAATCTTAATTCAACCAGAAAACCTTTGGCCATCAAAATCAATCTGCCATAAAAATGTATTTTTATTTACAACTACTTAATGTACACTTCTGCCAGAAACTTGCCTTAATCTCCTGATACCAAAGCTAAGGACAAACCAGGGTTGTCTTAAAGCACTAGAGGGCCAGAAAGGTATATAAAATTAAGAACTATTTAGCATCTTTACACCTTGCATGTGTTGTCAGTATTACAAGGAGCAGACAGAATTTATAAATAGTTTAATATATGCAAGTGATCCCAAACCAATTCTAGGTGAGGAATTACTACAATTTAAAAACCTGTGCGTTTGTAGTGTTTATACAAGTGTAATACTTAATAATCCCAAAATAAAGGGTAACAAAAATGAACCCATTGATTTATTCAGTACATCAGAATTCTTACAAGACTAAGGACTTTTTTGTAGGATTTGCAGTTGGGCCCTCATGTTAGTTTTGGGTTTAAACTTCTAATACTAACTTCCACTTTGAAAAATCTTCCACTTTAAAGTACAATGATACAGCCAATGTCTCAGCAGGGACCATCTGTGACACATAAGGATAAAGAAATGAAGTTGTAACTTGTACCCACCCACCTATTAGACAGACCTTGCAATCACCCAGTTCAGAACACAGTTACAGCAGTTCAGGGGCTTAAAAGCAGTCTTATGTTTCTTCAGATTCTGTGCATGTGAATTTCTGGGCTACAGCCAGCTGGCCAGGATTTAAACTGTTTGTGTATCTATAGCTAGCAGTTTCCCATGGATAAAATCTCAGCCATTGGCAAGAATTTCCATCCACATAAAAAGTCCAGGTTTTACTGTTCACAGTAATGCCTGGAGTTCCAGCCTCTGCCTGTGAGAGCAACCTTTGAAACAATGGAGGTCATGAGTTTTAGTCTGAAGCGAGCATTAAGTCTTGAATGCAAAACTAAGGATTTTATGACTGTTTATGTCTATTATGTGCCACATGAAAATGGAACCATGGCTAATTATATCAAATTTAAAGAGACTAAAGGTTTTCATGCAAATACTACCTGTGATTTTAACATACGAAGTTCAGGTTTTTTTCCTGAAATGCTACATAAATGCAGGACATTTATTATGGGTAACTGCAACCTACAGTTAAAACCGCTAGAACTCAAGTTGTCATTATCAGTTTTCAATGCTCAACTGAAAAGTCAGAGGTCTAAATTCAATTACATTAAATAGCAAAGTTTTCTGTAACGTTTGCGTAGGAAAAACTAGAAACCTGTGTATGTAATTTTCACTTCATACTGAATACTATATTCTATATCCTAAGTTAAGGTGATAACCAGCTGTATCAAAGTATTAACATATATGTTAAAAACTTTTAAATTTCAGATTCTGGAATAGCATGAAACAGCCCTCAGGCTCTACTCGTATCTATAGGGACATGTTCCTAAGGAAAAGGATTCTTGGCCTGCAGTAGCAGTGGGGAGCTTCCTCACAGTTTCTCCACAAAGCAACATTTTGGTTTAGCCCATGGGATGCCATGCCTTGTCTCAGCATTGTCTCCTGCCATTGTAATGGACTCAATCGTTCTACTCATTGTCCACTGAATTTTCACTCTCAGTTCATTACAGAGCACCTACACGCATTTCCAACTGGCTGGATTTGGAGGCATTTAATAACACTTTTTGATAAAAGTAGTACATTGTAACGCATCAAAGCATTCTTTATTATTTTCTGTCAAGGGGAAGAAACATAGCAGTTTTAATACATTACTTTCAGGAGACGCTGATAGTTCTGAGTCACAACTGTAGAGGGTGACAAACAAAAGTCATACTGAGATCACTGAACTAGTATGTGTATGTTAACTTACAGTGCATCGGATATTTGTATAACCAGAGAAAAAAAACAAGGAGGTCCATCTAGCTTAAATGTTATAGGCAGCCTACTTTGCATTCATGTAAAATGTTACAAATACTACCCAAAGGGCATGTTATTTCTTGTACCTGTGTTATGCTATTGGAGAGCAGGCAATCAGAATTCACTCCAGCTTCAAAATAATGTATGTTAACTGTCCATAATAATTTTAATCCCCGTGCAATTTGCATTCTGTGGCTAGCTTTTTCAGCGCCTTAGTTAATTTCACTTGATTATAATTGGAAGCATCTGACTAAGATTTAGGCATGCTTATTGCTGTAAAAGAAATAAGCCCATCTTCAAAATTACTGTGCAAGTATTTTAATAAGATTTGCACACATCTCAAAAAACTCTATTGTGTGACTCCCTGGTCTTGTAGTTACATCAGCTGTGGAAGAGTCAAGCGAAGAGTTCACTGATGAGGTAAGGGATGTATCTGCAGATTTTCCTTGAGCATCAGCATCTGAATCTTTTTGACAAGATCTATAGTTGCTCACAGAACCTGATCTCTGTGGAGTTGCAGTCCCAGACTTTGCTTCAGTAATTTCATCTGGGAACAAGGGAAGAGAAGAGAAAAATTTGGTATCAGTATCAAATCAGTTCTAGGAAGAGCAAAAATCTTCCCATTATCACACTTCTGAATCTTGTCTTTTAAATCTTGATTAATAAATAAACTGCTTTTGCAAACTGTATTTCATACAATATTTTATATTTTCATATTTTATACTTAGTACAAATATTCTTATGCTAATTCTTTCTGTACTCTGATCTGTGCTCCAGAACTATTTACATCTAGTTCAGATCAATACTAATTGTATTTTTCATTAACTGATTTCAGCAGCTAATTTCAATTCAGTTCAATTTAGGTTACTCAAAACAAAAACAGGTCAGCATTATAAGGTTAAGTTCAATAGTAGCTTGTAGATTTTTTTTCTATCATCTACTTTGTTTTTATTCTATCTTTGTTCTCTTTTGTGTATTTATATATTGTTATTATTTGTATTTTATGACAAGTCATTAGCACATTATACTTATCATTTGCATTCATTTATTCTTCTCTTTTGAAAGTTTGCCACCATAGAATGTTGTGTTTGGGCTGCAACAACTTATGTTTACCTTCAGTATGCGGAGAAAATAGTTTCATCTTAATAGTATTGTTCTGTTGAAGCATCTCTATTTTTATTTTAAATACTGAACATTAACTTGGCTCTTAAGTTGGCTCCTGAAAAATTGCTTCAGGATAAATGAGTGAAAAGGCAATCTCTCCTGTTTATACAAAGCTACTTTAATTTACAGATTGTTAAGAGGAACAGAGAACAGTTTACCATGGTGGAGAGAAGGAATGTCAAATCAGTTTAACCATTGGAAGATATATAACAAATCTGTGCCCTTGGGTTGTATTTCATCAAAAGTAGAAACCAGGATTGTAGCAGCTGACCTCCCCCAGCTGCATGGCTTTAAGCAAAAAAAAATTGCTTTTTTTCATGCAATGTCTTCCTACACGTCATCTACACCACTTGCTGTAGGTAATGTTCCTTTAGTCTCCTATGCCCATAAACAAGCACTGTGTTCAGTCTCTATTAGCTCCTCTGTTCACTTAATCTAACCAGGCTTTGTATGCTGTATTACTGTCACTCCAAAAAATATATTTTTCTACAGGTTAAACTAAATGCTTTCAAGATTTTAGCTCCTTTCAGCATAAAATTCCTACCTCAAATTTTAGCTACTAGTAGAACAAATGGGTTAACTTCACATTGCAGCTGATACCTCAGTGCAAAGGGGAAGAAAATTGGAAGGGCAAAAGTGAGAAAACTCATGGGTAGAAATTAACAGTGTTAAGTAAGGTGGGAGTGATGAGGGAGTGATGCAAAGGCAACTACTATCCCCAGAGCAGACTGATGCCCAACTGGTCTCAAGGTTACCTTCCTTAAAACCCCATTCTTTGCTAGGCATACTATAATACAGCACTGAACATCCCTTTGTTCAATCTGGCCCAGCTCTGCTGTTGCTCTACTCCCAACACGACAGTGTGGAAAAAGAAAGGCCGGATACTATGCCAGTGCTGCTCAGCAACACTCATGTGTTATCAATAACTGCTTTAGTTACAGATCCAAAACAGCACCATGTAGCCTGCTAGGAAGAAAATTAACTCCATCTCAGTCAGACCCAGTACAGCAAGGTACAGTCTGAGTCAAACAAATGCCTAGATGTCATGCTTTATCTTCATTAGAAAACACTGTTCACATGCTTACTTCAGATCTAAATTAATATTTAAATTTCAGCTGAAGCTCCAAAGGCAGCTTAAGTTGGTCCCAGTCTCACCTCCAACAGTCCTGTCCCCTTCTGCATGACTGGCACTAGTTTTGATGCAGACACAAAATGGAGCTCCTCAGGAGCTAATACAGCAAAATGCAATTATTTAAGGGACGTAGCAGCTAAGCATGTATCACAGGAACACTAATCCAGGAAGGAATAAGGAAACACTAATACAGATTAGATTGGTTTAAAATATAAAAAGGCAACAGTTACTTCACCTCTAAATACATAAATAAAGACATGTTTGCAAGTAGAATCATTTCCCATAAAACTCAAATAACTTAAGTACTTTTCACATACCATCAATACTACGGAAGTCCAGTAAGTATGTTCTGCTGTCCACCTGATACAATTGGAGACTCATTTTGGAATATGCACTTGTTACTGGATTCTTCCTCCGAACACGCAGATAATATGGATTTACAACCTATTATGAAAGAGATTTGAGTCAGTTAACCAGAACTGCTTGAAAATCACTGCATATTGTTTTTATCCTTTCAACTCACTATTATTTATCAAGAGATTTCAGATTTCATTACCTGTTGGATTTGAGGATTGTTGGGGGTCTTTTTAGCCAGGAGAATCATATTTGTACAGCCCCAAGAGAAAACTTTAGCACAACTTTTTTCCTGTCAGCATGTACAAAAACCCTACCCGCAAAAACCCTTCTACCCCCAAAACCCTTCTGGCACAGCAAACACAGACAGCACAGGCACATGAGACTAATGCCAGAACACGAAAACAGTTTCAGACATATGGGCTGTGTAACTACACTGCTCGAGCCAAAATGCAATGTTTTTGCTGTAAAGGTCCCCTATTTTGTTACCTTCCATTCATAATCCAGTTGTTTAATTGCTCGACAAACTTCAGCCATGATATCATTTGGTCGACTCTGACTCCGTATTCCCAAGTGCCATTTAGCCCGTCTTACACCCTGGTGTTTCGACTTCTGTGGATTCAGCTCATCAAGGGTATGGCGAGGACGTGGTGCCTCTGCTACTAAAAATGGCACTCGTTCAGGGTGAGGGCGAGACAGGTGGTGATCATCCAGAAAAGAATCTGGAGGACTTGTCGCCAAGTAGAAGTCTTTGGCCTCATTCATTATTCTTCTGTTATCTATAATAAGGTGATAAGCAACAGCTAGAGGGTCCTGATGATTTCGGCTGTACAGACAACTTAGCACTTCCTCTTCAGTGCATTCAAATTTCTCACACACTTCTTTTAGGGCTTCATCATCAATCATGGTAGAGCTATATGATGGATCTTCAGGAAACAAGTATTTTGGAAGATCCTGCTTAAACCATTCATGTTCCCTAGATTTAAAAAATAAAAAAATTCTGAGTATATGTAAATAAAGAAAACATTTTTAATGTGAAATTCCTTTAAAATATAAAATTAATTTCAGTCTGTGCTGGAAGAGAGAATAATGGTTACCAGTCCAAGACCCCTTGTAGCACAGACAATAAAACAGTACATAAAATAATCACCGCCTGCACAAGATTTTACTACACATTTTGCAGGAAATTGAAAAAAATATTTTTGTTATCTCACAAATTGCTTAGGGATAGGAATCATCTCATTTATTCAGTCTCCTCCTCCACCTGTTCCTGTGACTGTTCTGCTGCAGAGAGGGATGATCCTTCTGATTCCCTCTCCTGTTCCCTCCTACAAGCTTCTTCATTCATGACCAAACGAGGTTATTTTTTGCTTTGGTTATTTAGTTATAGGAGAAAGTGATATAGTTGAAAGCTAGGTTTCTGGCTTAGCCAAAGTGTCTGTTGGTATGTTTTCAAAGAAATACCCTGTTCTTCTTGAGGGTGCTGATTAGTATTGAGCAGTGTTCAATAGGAGCAGGCCAGGTCCCAGCACAGTGTTATAAGCCAGATCTCCCTGCAACAGCATCTTTCTTTCAGACATTCTATCACTTCATGAGGAAACGCCATTTCTATCATGTCCTACCTGCACATTTTCTCCCACACGCCTTACCACACAGATGTGAGGCCTGGGAGATGCTCTAAAATAGCTTGTTAATCTTCCAGAAAGGCTAAACTATGCCCCAAAGAAATACCAGTAGAAATATTTTGACTACCTAAGGAGGTTCAAGATACTGAAGTTATGGCAACAAGGGAGAAAACATCACAGAAGAATGTAGTGAAGGTGCCATTATGTATTTCCTCCACATAAAAAAAAAAAATCTTAGACAAAGATGTATAATTATTAATTGTCTCCCTGAGATGGTACCCAAACGACAGTAACAGCTTCAGTACAGAGCCCAAATAGCAGATGAAGCTCAAGGCAAATGTTCTAATACAAAAGGAAAAAAAAGTCACTAAGCACTACAAAGCACAGCAAATTTCAAAAAAACAACCCAAATCTTCAACACGTAAAACAAAAAATGGAACATGGATCAGATAAATCAATATTGAGAAAAATCAATATTCTGACCAACAAGCATTATACAGATAGAATTTATAATTATTTTGTCTAATATGCTGTATTCAAACCTGTTATTATCTTAACACCTTTAAGCCCCACACCGGGTGTCAAACAGGACTGCTATGGTTTAACTCCAGGCAGCAACCGAGCCACTTGCTTGGTCCTCTCCAGTAGGATGAGGGGCAGAATCAGAAGAGAAGAAGTGCAAAAAATTTGCAGGTTGAGATAAAAGCAGTTTAATAATTAGAAATTTATTTTTAAAAATTCTAAGAGAAAAAAAAATCAAAAAACACAAGAGAGGTGCCAAGGAAACCCAAGAAAGACAAGTAATGCAGATAAAAACAACTGCTCGTCAAGAAATGTCTGATGACAAGCAGACCAGCCCCATCAGCCTTCCTCTTATTTTTACAGCAGACATATGGTACAGACCCCATATGGTATGAAATATGCCTGTGGTCAGTTGGGGTCAGCTGCTCCAGCAGTGTCCCCTCACACCCCCAGCCTGCTCTGTTCGGACAGCGTAAGAAGCAGAAAAGACTTTGGCTCTGTGAAAGTCCTGCTCAGCAGTAACTACAATATACACCTTTTACCAAGACAATTTTTCAGAACAAATTCAAAACACAGTTACTGTGAAAAAATTCAACTCTATTCCAGCCCAAACCAGCACAGTGCACTAAGCTCCTCTCAGTGTGATCCTGAGAATGCTGTACCTCAGCACAAATGTGCTGGGCAAAATATAGTTTAATCAGAAAAACATTTAATTTGGAAGCAGAAAAATGTTTTCTCATACCACAACAAAGGCTCAGCCATAGCTGGGATGACTGAACCCAGAGGAATATTTTTACTGTTCATGGCACCAGGCCTTTCCCCTTGCATGCACATACATACAACCCCTGGAAGAATCAAGGTATTCAATTAAACTCATTTTGTCCTTTGAACTGTGAAGTCGCATGTCATATGGATAATAGGACAGAGCTGTTTCAGGTTCAAATTCCATCCATGTTCTGTGACCAAAATTTTTCAGCATCTGTTCCACACCACTTCTTTTCCACACACTATTTAACATAACTGAGGTAACTTAAGTTCCTAACCGCTGAAGTTTTACAACCCTTAGTTCTCATCTCTGCAAGGAAGTACTTCCCATCATAATAAAGTAGTAAGGGATAAGTATGCCATATTTTTTGTTCCACTGAGAAAATGAACATTGCTGATTTCCTAGCCTCCAACCCTAAAAGAAGCAGCATTTTCACTATGGTAGTATAGTAACATTCTTTTGTTAGAGTTTCTGCAAAGAAAATTAAGCTGCTACATAAAGTACGTTTCTCTCAGCTACCTAATTTTTGTCAGCACAATCAACTTCTCCAGAAACATCTATTGGAATCTGGAGCCCATGATGCCTCTCTTTACCTACAAAATTTAACTTATCAGTACTTGGTGAAGAAATTATCATTCATACATAAATTCATGCCAGTGCTTTGAAGCTAAGAATTGTTGCCTTACATGTGGAAATTTCACAGTCTTAACAAATGACTTTTCAGAGCCTGAAGAAATGCAAATAAAAGCAATAGTTATCAGATTAAAGAGCTTACTCAGACATTTACAGTAGAGAGAACTGGTTCCTAACAGCAAAGACATTTTTCTTTCCCCAGAGAAGTCAAGTTTTGCAAACCATTATGCAAGTAAACAGCTTTGCTATGGCAGTCTTAAACCTAAATTGACTCAAAATTTCCATTTATAATATAAATAATTTGTTTTCCTATGATCTCCAATAGATACTTCATTGTTCACTGGAGATCAGCACTATCAGAGCTAAAACCAAGCCATCAGAAGTTGAATTTTTCATCTCGGTCTAAGAAACATGGAAAAGCTGTATGAATAACTTCTTTGTTCTGCTATTTGCACTATTGTAATTTCAGAATCCTGTGATCAGACATCAGCAAGTGTTTTACCTAATGTCTCTGATCGTTGCTCTCTTCATTGGATCCACTTGCAGCATGTGCTTCAAAAGACTAATTACAGATGGATTCAGGTACTGAGGGGTATAAAAGATACCATCACATATCTTCTTAAAAAGGGTTGGCACATGATCATCATCAAATGGAAGCGTTCCGCATAACAAAGCATAGAGAATAACCCCACTGCTCCAAATATCTACTTCTGGGCCTGCATATAACCTGTGAAAAAAATAACTATTAATGATTTGTGTTTAATGCAATTCAATATGTTTTCTCTCATTTTTCCATGTATCACAGTAATTAAAAGCACATGAACTTGGGACAACTGATTTTGCAAGCACTATACCATTTCAGCTCTATGCCATGCCTTCCTTGAACTTCTTCCCTTTCTAATATATTACAGGCATAAGTACAGTTTTTCCTGTCTAATGTGTAACAATAATCCACAGTGCAATTTCACGCAATGGCAAACTGAAAGGAATGTGCATCTACTACTAAGAAAGCCTGTTTTATATATTATTATCAATGTTTTAGAGAAATCTATGCAAGGTCAGCTATCCCCTAAATTGTGGCTGAAAAGTTTCAGACAAGTACATATAGCTGAACATGTCACATATTCTGTGCCACTGCCAGAGTAAAACAGACATATATGGCCTCCAATCAGCAAGAGGCAGTATTAGGGTAGGTAGCTGAAAGCAGATTTGACAATCATAGTTTACAAAAAGGGTTTTTTAGGGTTTTTTACAAAAAGGGAAGTTACCTCCAGACTGAGTATCTACTCTGCAGCAAATATTTCCCTGCTACTCAACTTCACAGCAGACTCTGCCTGTAACTCTGCACCTCAGCTTCCAAGATGTGAGCTGTACATGAGATTTTTAAAGTAGTTCAGGCAGAGTGTACACAATGGATTTGGGGCATTAGACATCACCTCTATCTTACAGGAACCATTCAAAGCTAGTTCACAGCAAGTTTTGAACATTTAAAAAATTATCAATACAACCAACAGCCCTCAGTTTCTCAGCATCAATCTTGTCAACTGAACTAGTTTTGTACCCTTTAGAATCAAGCAGCAACATGACTGAAGTACATGCATACATGTATCCAATATAAAAGAAACTACCTTCCAGAAATTACTTCTGGTGCAGCATAGTTAGGGGAACCACAGCTTGTTCTTAAAAATTCTCCATCTGACATCATATTTGATAGACCTGAAAGTGTATAAGAGTAACTACTAAAAATTGAGGGAGCAAAATTATATCACACTGCATATACCACCTAGAACAAACCACTAGTGATCCAAATTAGAAAATTAGCAAATTTACTCCACTTAACAAATAATGTTGTTTTGAATTATGGAATTTTTCTATGAGCATGCCACATAATCCTCCAAATATTTTACCAGAAATCTGAGTAACAGCAATCCATTACGGCCCACAGCCTAGAGATATCTGAGAACATATTCATTCTTAGACTAGAACAGTTAAATTTGAATGACACAGGCATGACAGAGAACAAAGTTGCTCTAAGAGAAATGAAGCAGTATAGCAAGATAGGATTTTGGTCATTAACAAGGAAGTACTAAAAACCTCATTTGCTTTTAAAATGCCAAAGTGGGAAATGCTACCACAGAATTCCCTAAAATTCTGTTAGAGGTTACACAGAAGGGAACTGAAGAGTAAACATGACTTTACCACAATTTACATCCCCACACTACGCACCTGGTTCCTGCACCACTGCAGTTTAGTAACTACTAAACTTTCAGATACTCTGTTAGCAACAGAGGTGTGCTTTAGAACTAGCACCAGCACTCCATATAGTCTAACAGCTGTAGAAAATTTCTTCTAGTCTCCTCTGTAAGGCTGAATGATCAAGGCTACCATAAGACAAAGAACTCAGTCTCCAAGAAAGAATTATGCCCTTTTATGTGTCAGAGAGGAAAGAGTACAGCTTGGCTAGCTTTCATAATCTAACATACAAAAGCTTTTATTAAACTCTTGTTTAATACACCACTCATGATTAACTGAGTGCTACAGTTTTGCTGATGCTAAGTTACTGAACTTCATTTCTTCACCATGTGAGCCATGTAACCCAAATAATTTTCTCCACATGAAAAAACAACATGATTCCCAGGGCCCACACAGTTGAACACCATACTTTTAAAACATACTTAGAATATTCAGCATTACCTAACACCTTTCACTGGAGACTTATGTAAGCAGGTTATCCACTATGTCTACAAGAGATGTGTCATGACACAGCAGTATGGATACCTTACTATGCTTATGTGGTGAGGTTTCCTGACTCAGATGGTTCCAAGAACTAGCTTCAAGGCTTCTCTGCAGCTGTGTCACGAACTGCTGGCATAAATAAATCAGGACTAGTGTATTTTTCTATAGCACTGCAGCTTCTTAAAGATGAATTGCCCCTGCACTGTTCTTCCAACAGATCTAAGCATCTACATTTTATGGATGATGAAACAGATAAGGAGTGAGATTTGAAGAAGAAAGGTCAGAAACTAAGTCTACTTAGCATTTTAGGGAAAATGTTAAGTGAAACAAAATTAATCAGTTCACAATTTAAGCTAGTCACAGAAAATACCTCAAAAAACAGCAAGAAAGCTTGAGAGGAAAACAAGTTTAATAAATGTGCAACAACATTATTTTGCTTTACATCTATTTTCTTCATGTTCTTCTGTTGTATCCCACCACCAGGATACTAAAGTATACATACTTTATTTAATATTTACTATTGTTACTAACAGGATATAACACCAGAAATGCAATCAAATAGAAAAATAAAGCCATACGTACCAAAGTCAGCTATCTTAGCATTCATGTGTGCATCAAGAAGCACGTTTTCAGGCTTCAGATCTCTATGTACTACCATGTGCCTGTGACAGTAATCCACCCCAGAAAGGATTTGCTGAAACAGACGTCTGCTTTCCTTCTCATCAAGCTAAAACAGACAAAGATTTTAAATATTAAGAAACACTGGAAGTTAACTTGTTTTTCATTTTTACTAGCCAAAGGAAACTTTCCCATGACCTAAACTTATCAATTATACTTATCATTTGATATTTTATACAGCATATTATCAGAACATGTAGCAAGCAGCTTTATATTTTGCATGATTTTGATTATACCACAGCTCTTAAGTGACTAAAACAAAACATACCCACTTACTCAAAAAGTCACTGAAAGTTCTTAATCAGACTTTTGAAATTGGGTTTGGCAGATGTTACATACTCACTAACTAGAAACATTAGCACAAACATTTAACTTTGTCTAACTGGAATTATCTACAAACTTTAATGTTTAAGCACAGCGCAAGATTTAAGCAGGCAAAAGCTGCTGAAATACAACACAGAAATTATAAATTTCAGATGCTATTTATGCTATCAGCAGCTAGGCCCAAACAGTAGACTTAGGTGGGCATTTCCTACAAAGGCCTGTAATCCACAATAGTTTGTCAGAGCAAGTGAAGTATCCTTTATATCCAAATAGTCTGTAAAGAGTGACTTCAGATCTTTCATACAAGCTATCCTAATAGTAGAAGATAGTAATAGGGTCACAATGGTAGCTTTCAAATAATGGGATATACCAAAGAAACAGTTTTCATCTACTCCAACTGGGTACATACTCATCTAGTTTATTCCCAGCCAGTGTAAATTAACAGATTAGTAGAAATGAAGAATGCTATGACGAAGTTCACGAAGATTTGAAATGTGCTAACATATAAACATTTGTACTTTCAGAAGAAAAACAGTCATAAAATATATTTTAACTGATAGCAGCAAAATTAAAACCAAAAACAAGAAAACACACACAAATTTAACAAGATGTAACCAGCAGCCCTTGCTTTCAGCCCTTGATAATGTGGTTAACTTAATTAACGCCACTTTGTGAGGCAAGCAGACATTCCGTGACCACAAAAGACATGCCCTCTGCCTCATTATCAGGCCCTGAAGGTCCTGTGAAGCAAATGGACAAACCAGTTTTCTTCTTGCCATCCCCAGCAGCCGCAAGATTCCTGGGTACCAGGCCAGTTATCTGCTTCCTTACCAGCCTTTAATTCCCGGGCACAGAGCCATGGATGACTCTGTCATGGCATATGGAACTGCACCAGCAGCCAGAGCAGTGCTGCTTTGGCTGATCTTTAACATCAAACAGCTACAACTCCTAAATGGGAATGAATCCTGTGACTTCTCAGTTGCCACACATGCGTCCACCATCCTCTGCTTCCACTGAGGACTGAGTGACTTGTGTTCGCCCGTTTGACTTTCAAAGCTAGACTGTGCTTGCTATATGGATATTGCAAAATACGTATTTAGATTTGACCAGATCTACAGAGGGTCTGTAGATCCAGGTGAATAGATATCTCAAATTAGGTTGTGCACTAAAAATTGTGTACTACACTACCTACAAACTATATTCATCCTGCTCACATGTCACAGAATTCCTGAGACATGCTAATCATAAATCCTGTGCTACACTAATCATAGTATTCTTTTGAGAAAACAAAACTTTTAATTGTATTATTCTGACAAAGATACCTAGAAAGATACACCCAAGTCTGTCCCATCATGGTAGAGTGACACAGGAATGTTGCAAATGCAGTAACCAAATGCAAGTCACTGATTTGCAGAGCTGGACTACTTCTTACCCTTCCATTTTTACAGATATAATCAAACAGTTCTCCTCCTGAAACATATTCCATCACCATGAAAATGTCAGTGGGTGTACTGATGACCTGGTACCTGATAAGAGAAAGTATCTATTAGTCTACACACTCAGTTAAACACGAATAACATTTAGTTAAAACCGAAGTAATACAAATAATCAGATGAAAAATATACTTTAAAATAGTTATCATTCAATCTACATCTACTGAAACGACAATATTTTTCAGAAGATTGCTTCTTTCACCACGTCATGCCACCATTGCAAAGACTAGCAGGAAATTTGTAATCCCTATCAGGAATATCAGTCCTTTTTCTTTCAGAGGTACAAGTGATTTCTGTAAGACTGCTTACAGTGCTGCCTCATCAACAGCTTGATGCAGTGACAAAGGACTTCAAAAGCACTTTGCTAGTGTTACAAAAATACACACCTTTCAACGTTAATGTGCAAAAAAATTCACTTGCCATAAATGAAAGTGTACTTCTGGACTAGGAAAAAGCTCCTCTTAATAATGATGAATGTTAGTATTTAAGGGTACTGATCTCTGGTTATTAAATTTTTATCATTCTACTTCAATTAAATTTTAAAAACCTACCTTTGAAGCTTTGAACTAACAAGTTTAAGGACAAAATCACAATTTAAGAGATTTTTAAGATAAGATTTTTTTTCTACATATCCTTACCTAAAAATTGTTTCATTTGTTCCCTTTACATCATTCCACATGCAAAAGAAAGAATTCTCCCGGTGATCCCCTGAGAAAGAACCTGTCATCTGAAATCTGCTAAACTGTCTTCAGTTTAGCAACAGCACAAGCACACAGTCCTCTTTCATCCTGGTATGTCACTTGGTGCACTGACACTTCCTACTCTGTTCTGGCTGTAGGTGTGCCCTTTGGACCCATTCATAGATTAACTGAGAGCAATAGCAATTTTGCTGACAAATCAGCTCAACAGTCTTCTGAAAACTAGCCCACTGAAGAAGTGGGAGGGTTGACCTTACACTTAATTGTAATTTAGGTTCAGTCTAACAGCTGCTGCTGAATTAAAGGGAGTGCATCTGCCAGTGGCAATGGTGTCTTTAGACAAGAGTCTACCAATTAAAAAAAACACCCACATCATGACTAAGACAGTGGAAGTCACCCACACCCTAGAAATACAGATTATCTTAACAGGAAATCAGAGTCAAAAGAAAATGAACATTAGTTATCATTTATTACCACAGACAAGACATGAGGAGTCTACTCTGGGACGTAGTTGTACCCTGAAATCTACTGATGAACTATTGATCAAGTAAGAGATGTAAACAGGCACATTTTTAATACCACATTTAGACAAAGGGTAGAAATCTACACTGAAGATTTCTGAAATAGCAATCACATTTATCAAACTGTACATCCTTAATTCAGAAAAATCTTGCAGAGCACCACCTACACTGAAAAAACATGTATCACTGACCAGCTCATCACTAAAAACATTAGAAGATACAATAAACTTGCTATAGAAATGACCTTTAAACTCTTGTTCTTAGTAACTCATTTTCCAAGCAAGAAAAAAAAAAAATCAAACATGAACAGAAAAATAAAAATGAAGTAGCCACTAAACTCAGATGACTGCTACCATTTCCATTACCAAGGTGATGTCATGACATGTCACCTGTCCAAAGAATGTCTAAACAAAGATCTAATGGAAACTCTCCAGCCTGCAGTAAAGATCACCTTTGTGAAAACACATTACAGAGGGCACAGCTGAATGCTTTGAAGCTGGTTACTTTTCTGACGAGGTACTGTTTGTAGCATTGCCCTTTAAATGTATTTCAGATCAGTGAGAGCAAAAAGAGATTACTGCCTAAGTAAGTTCGATTACAGTAAGCAAAACTTACAGCTTAATTATATGAGGATGCCTGAAGAGTTTGAGGTTCTGAATCTCCCTTCGGATTTTGCCTACAACATCAAGGCTGCGAATCTTCTGTCGATTCAGGATCTTCACGGCAACTTTGTGCCCAGTTAACTCATGTTTTCCAACTGCAAGAAACAAGGAAGTATTTAGTCAAGGTTTTTAATTGCTCAGTTAAGACATTATTTCTCCTTTTTGAATGTAGCCAAATTAAGACACTAGCATTCCACATATCCCCATTATCTTTGGGGAGTTTGAAAACCAGATGGTATAGAATTTTTTCAGCCTGACTCCACTTTCTCATACAATTCTATCATTAGAAGATGCATGTATGACAGAAGTTCCTTAAACCTAACCAGCAGAAGTGTTGCAGCATAACCTTTTCTGCAATATTGGTTAAAAAAATAAAAAAAACAAAAAAACAAGAAAGAAACAAAAAAAGCAAAGCATATCCCCAAACCCTGACATCCTTGCTAATTAGAGAGAACATTTTCTCTTCCTGTGTAAGTCACTCCAAGCTTTTGGCTTACTTGGCAGCCCAGTCAAACATGTTTTCCTGTATTTCTTCTACTTCATCTGCAAGGATCACTCCTACCGCTCTCTCATGATGCCTACTTCAGCAATTGCTCTGAATTACCAGTGTAAGTACCTGATCAGTTTACTTATAAAAAATGTATGAAAGTTTATAAAACTTTCTAAGTTTACTTACAAAAATGCTGACAGCTCCACAGTCTGTGCAGTTAACACCAGAGCTTTATTCTATTTAAATAAGTGGCAAATGCGATGAGAAATGCACAAAAAATAGAACAGAAACAATGAAAAACAATGCAAGCGTGCAACCTAATGCATTCCTAGAAGTGGAAAAGAAATTAAGGACAGTTTCACTGTTCCTTAAACAGAGGAAGTAAAAACTGTAAACTATTTCACAGTCAGCTACCTCTCAAAGTCCTGAACTTTGCAAGTGCTACTGGGAGTAGTCACAGCAAAGTCCATCAGAATAATTGTCTTAAATCCCAAACACGATCACAGAACACTGAGAAGCTAAATATCTCTTTTACTAGAAGGCTTCCCTATCCACATGGCTGCCACATGCAGTTATTATAATAATACCATTCATTTGCCATCCTGATTCCTACTTCCCAAAGATAAGCCAGATCCACCAGACACCCACATGGCTCATCCTTGTCCACATAAATAGACCTTTGTAACATGACTGTGCTGAACGCAACTCACTCATTTGGGTGCCTACCCTCATTCAGGGTTTAGAGAATTTAAATAAGCCCTGGGATTCAAGTTTTGTTTAAATACATACATGGGAAACTGTGA